GGGACGCAGGGGACTCGGGGCTCTGCCTCTCCTTAACCGCCTGAGCGCCAGGCAGGGGCCGTCCCAGGGCGGCCTTTCCTCCGAGAGACTTGCCTGCTTGGTGAGGGTGCATCTGACGACCCAGCGCTCGCCCCACACCCCCCCCCACGCACACGCACACACACACACACACACACACACACACACACACACACACTCCTCAGGAGGCACAGAACCCAGTCCCGCCCACCTGTGAGTCTCAGGCGACCTGGGCCCTTCCTGTACGAACACAATTCAATGTGTTTCCCCTGTTAACGTCTTACGTCCATTTAGTGACTAGAGCGCCAGGAACCCAGAAGGAAAGAAGGGGAATGCCCCCCTGCCCCCCCCCCGCCCCCCCCCCCCCCCGTGGGCGTGTGTCCTGCGCGCTCTGCCACAGGGCGGGATCTGTGCGTGCTGAGCGCTTTTCTTCCTGAGCTTTGCTATTTCTGTAAGGACCTCTGTGTGGGGTGTTTTCTATATGTATCTAAGGGGTGCGAGTGCACCTGTGTGCTGGGTCCCTGACTTCGCTGGGTCTGTGTGGCCAGACCTCCTCACTGTGTCCTGCTGCCTCCCAGGTGGGACTGGGGCTGAGCCTTCTCTTGACACTGCCCACGGGCATCCTCAGCACTATGTCCAGACTTGTGCCTGAGTGCAGGATCTCACCTCCCCACACACTCACACGCACAGCTCACACGCACAGCTCACACTCACAGCATACGCACAGCTCACACGCACAGCATACGCACAGCTCACATACGCACAGCTCATACAAGCACAGCTCATACTCACACTCACAGCATATGCACAGCTCACACACACACAGCTCACACATGCATACTCACAGCTCACACTCACAGCATACGCACAGCTCACATATGCACAACTCACACGCACAGCTCACACTCACAGCTCACACATAGCACACACACAGCTCACACTCACAGCTCACACTCACAGCTCACACATAGCACACACACAGCTCACACTCACAGCTCACACTCACAGCATACGCACAGCTCACATGCACAGCTCACACGCACAGCTCACATGCACAGCTCACACGCATAGCTCACATGCACAGCTCACACGCAGAGCATATGCACAGCTCACATGCACAGCTCACATGCATAGCTCACACTCACAGCTCACACACACACAGCTCACATACGCACAGCTCATACAAGCACAGCTCATACTCACACTCACAGCATATGCACAGCTCACACACACACAGCTCACACATGCATACTCACAGCTCACACTCACAGCATACGCACAGCTCACATATGCACAACTCACACGCACAGCATACGCACAGCTCACACATGCACAGCTGACACACACAGCTCACATGCACAGCTCACACACGCATAGCTTACACTCACAGCACACACACAAACATGCACAGCTCACACACAGCTCACAGCTCACACTCATACAGCATATGCACAACTCACACGCACAGCTCACACAGCTCACACTCATACAGCATACACACAGCTCACATATGTACAGCTCACACTCATAGCATATGCACAGCTCACACATGCACAGCTCACACACACAGCTCACACTCACAGCTCACACATAGCACACACACACAGCTCACACTCACGGCTCACACTCACAGCTCACACAGCTCACACAGCTCACACAGCTCACACACACAGCTCACACTCACAGCTCACACTCACAGTTCACACACACAGCTCACACTCACAGCTCACACACACAGCTCACACTCACAGCTCACACAGCTCACACAGCTCACACACACAGCTCACACTCACAGCTCACACTCACAGCTCACACACACAGCTCACACTCACAGCTCACACAGCTCTCACAGCTCACACTCACAGCTCACACAGCTCACACAGCTCACACTCACAGCTCACACACAGCTCACACTCACAGCTCACACTCACAGCTCACACTCACAGCTCACACAGCTCACACAGCTCACACACACAGCTCACACTCACAGCTCACACTCACAGCTCACACTCACAGCTCACACAGCTCACACAGCTCACACACACAGCTCACACTCACAGCTCACACAGCTCACACACACAGCTCACACTCACAGCTCACTCACAGCTCACACAGCTCACACAGCTCACACAGCATATGCACAGCTCACACTCACAGCATATGCACAGCTCACACATGCACAGCTCACACACACAGCTCACACTCACAGCTCACACATAGCGCACACACACACAGCTCACACTCACAGCTCACACTCACAGCTCACACACACAGCTCACACAGCTCACACAGCTCACACACACAGCTTACACTCACAGCTCACACTCACAGCTCACACTCACAGCTCACACAGCTCACACAGCTCACACACACAGCTCACACTCACATCTCACACTCACAGCTCACACAGCTCACACAGCTCACACAGCTCACACACACAGCTCACACAGCTCACACAGCTCACACAGCTCACACACACAGCTCACACAGCTCACACAGCTCACACTCACAGCTCACACAGCTCACACAGCTCACACACACAGCTCACACTCACAGCTCACACTCACAGCTCACACAGCTCACACAGCTCATACTCACAGCTCACACAGCTCATACTCACAGCTCACACTCACAGCTCACACAGCTCACTCACAGCTCACACAGCTCACACTCACAGCTCACACAGCTCACACTCACAGCTCACACAGCTCATACTCACAGCTCACACTCACAGCTCACACTCACAGCTCACACAGCTCACTCACAGCTCACACAGCTCACACTCACAGCTCATACAGCTCACTCACAGCTCACACTCACAGCTCACACAGCTCATACTCACAGCTCACACTCACAGCTCACACTCACAGCTCACACAGCTCATACTCACAGCTCACACTCACAGCTCACACTCACAGCTCACACAGCTCACTCACAGCTCACACAGCTCACACTCACAGCTCATACAGCTCACTCACAGCTCACACTCACAGCTCACACAGCTCACACACACAGCTCACACTCACAGCTCACACTCACAGCTCACACAGCTCACACAGCTCATACTCACAGCTCACACAGCTCATACTCACAGCTCACACAGCTCATACTCACAGCTCACACTCACAGCTCACACAGCTCACACTCACAGCTCACACTCACAGCTCACACAGCTCATACTCACAGCTCACACTCACAGCTCACACTCACAGCTCACACAGCTCACTCACAGCTCACACAGCTCATACTCACAGCTCACACAGCTCATTCTCACAGCTCACACAGCTCATACTCACAGCTCACACTCACAGCTCACACTCACAGCTCACACTCACAGCTCACACAGCTCATACTCACAGCTCACACAGCTCATACAGCTCACACTCACAGCTCACACTCACAGCTCACACAGCTCATACTCACAGCTCACACAGCTCATACTCACAGCTCACACAGCTCACACAGCTCACACTCACAGCTCACACTCACAGCTCACACAGCTCACTCACAGCTCACACAGCTCACACTCACAGCTCATACAGCTCACTCACAGCTCACACTCACAGCTCACACAGCTCACACACACAGCTCACACTCACACACACAGCTCACACTCACAGCTCACACACCAGCGCAGCTATGTGTCACAGGCCAAGTCTCCACCCCCTCCCTTTGCTGAACTGTTGGAATTTCCAAGCCGGCCTTGAGGGGGGCGGAGTGAGGGGGGGCGGAGTGAGGGCCGCCCAGCGGGGCTGTACTTAACTCGCCCGGGAGGCTCCGGGCCCCACTCATCTTTCCCACCGCTCACCGCTCAGCTGCCATGTGTCGCTCCCGCTGCTCCCTCCCCACCATGACCGTCCTGCGGGCCCCGACCCCGGCACCCTCCGCCAGCCCGGGACCCCGGCGGGGCTCTGGGCCCGAGGTCTTCACCTTCGATCCTCTCCCGGAGCCGGCGGCGGCCCCCGCCTCGCGCCCCAGCGCCTCGCGCCCCAGCGTCTCCCGCGGGCACAGAAAGCGCAGCCGGAGGGTCCTCTACCCCCGAGTGGTGAGTGTCGCCCAAGTGGGGGCCGGGGGTGGCGGGCACGGCCGCCGTCGGGCCCGGCTGACCTGTTCCCTCGCCGTCTCCGCGCAGGTCCGGCGCCAGCTGCCCGCCGAGGACGCCAGCCCCGCCAGGAGGCTCCTCTTCCTCCTGCTCGCCGTCGTCTTCTGCCAGGTCCTGACGGCGGAAGAAGGGGTGCCGGCGCCCCCGACCGCGGAGGACGCCCCTGCGCCCGCCCCTGCGCCCCCCGCGCGCGAGCCCCGGAATGTGACGGCGGAGCCCGCGGACCGCGCTCTGGACCTCCGCGCCTTCCTCCCGCGCCCCCCGGCCGCCCTCTGACCGCCCGCCCGGCGGCCCTGGAAGCCGAGCGCGGGCTCCGAGGCCCTCGCCCCGCGGGAGCCGCCCGACGGGACGCGCGCGGACACGCCGGCGGGTGGGAGGGCGCCAACTGTCTCCTGCTGCAGCTCCTATTTATATTTATTGTGTATTTATATGTCCCCCTGGCGACCGGGGTGTCTGTAATATTTATTTAACTTATGCGAGGGCGCGGGGCGTGCCCGCGGCTGCCCCTCCCGGCCCCTGGGCACTGGGAAGCGGTGGGACCGGGCCGGGTCCAGGTGCCCCCGTCTCCGGAGGCGGCCCCGGGCTGGCTGCGGGCGGGGCGGCGGGCGGGCCCCGGCAGCGGTATGTTCTGTGAACACAAATAAACCGGTGATTGATGCGGCATCCGAGTGAGTCTCTGACAGCGGCGAGTCCCCTCCGGGCGCAGGGACCCCGGGACCCGGCGCCCACGTCCGCGGCTCAGTCTGCGGCTCCCGGCCGCCGCGGGCACCCCAGTGACGAGGCCGCGTCACGCGCCGGGCGGGGCGGGGTCTGCCGGGCAGCGGGGCGGGGAGCGGGGCGGGCGGGGCGGGGAGCGGGGGCTGCCGGGAACGGGGCGGGCGGGGCGGGGCTGCGGCGGCCCCAGGGTGCGGGCGCGGAGGCGCGGGGTGCGCTTGCAGGAAGGTGGTGCGCGGCGGCCGTGGCTCGGCTCCCAGGTCCGGGGGGCGGCGGGGGGCGGATCCCGGAGAACCGCCGTCGCCGCGGGCGGGGGCGGGCGGGCGTCGCCGGAGTCTGCGGGTTTCCCGGGGCTGGGGTGGGGGAGCCTCAGCCGGCCCGGGTGCGAGGGGACTGGGCGGTGGTGGTGGGAAACAGCCGCTCCCGCCTCCGAGACGCCTTCTCTGCTCCCCGCCAGCTCCCTCGGAGCCATGTTCTTCACCTGCGGCCCCAACGAGGCCATGGTGGTCTCCGGTAAGCGCCGCGCCCCTCGGCCCGCGCCCCAGCCCCGGGAGCCTGGCTCCGCCCTTCCCTCCCGCCAGCGCCCCTGCGCCCAGGCTCCGGCCCGCCCACCCCCACCCCCCCCTCCTCTACCCCCACAGCTCCCTAGTCCCCGCATCCCCGCGCGATGCCCGCCCCTGCCCCCCCCACCCCCACCCCTCGCTCCCATCCCCTACCCCCCCCCCAGCTCCCTAGTCCCCCGCATTCCCGCATCCCAGCGCGACGCCCGCCCTTGCCCCCGCCTTGCAGGTTTCTGCCGGAGCCCCCCGGTCATGGTGGCCGGCGGCCGCGTCTTCGTGCTGCCCTGCATCCAGCAGATCCAGAGGTGGGTAGGGGGAGCCCGAGGGCCGTATCCTCTCCTCCTTTTCTCACTGCCCCCTTCTCTTTCCCTCTAGGATCTCTCTCAACACATTGACCCTCAATGTCAAGAGTGAGAAGGTTTACACGCGCCATGGGGTCCCCATCTCCGTCACCGGCATCGCCCAGGTGCGGCTTTCAGAGCTTTCCCGGGGTCCACGCCCCCACCCCCTCTGTAGTCGCGGCTTCTCCAAGCCCTTGGCTCATCCTCTCTGCTCCAGACCCGCACCTCACCCTCCCACCCCTCCTCTGCCTGCAGGTGAAAATCCAGGGGCAGAACAAAGAGATGCTGGCGGCTGCCTGCCAGATGTTCCTGGGGAAGACGGAGGCTGAGATCGCCCACATCGCCCTGGAGACACTGGAGGGCCACCAGAGGGCCATCATGGCCCACATGACTGTGGAGGTGGGCCTGCCGGCAGGGGGCCCAGCTGAGCCAGCTGTGGGAGCCAGAGCCAGAGGACCCAGAGCTTAAGTTCCTCCTCCCACCCTCCTTCGTCCTAGGAAATCTATAAGGACCGGCAGAAGTTCTCAGAGCAGGTTTTCAAAGTGGCCTCCTCAGACCTGGTGAACATGGGCATCAGTGTGGTCAGCTACACCCTGAAGGACATTCATGACGACCAGGTAAACCTGCACAGGTGGCCCTCTCTGCCCCTGCTCCTTTCTTACACCCTCTTCAGGACTCCAGTTTCCGCGTCTCTCCCACAGGACTACTTGCACTCCTTGGGGAAGGCTCGGACCGCTCAAGTCCAAAAAGATGCTCGGATTGGAGAAGCGGAGGCCAAGCGAGATGCTGGGATCCGGGTGAGAGAGAAATGGGGGGTGGTCTGTGGTCCCCATGGCACTTGAGCACTTGGGGGGAGTGCACAACGGGGGCTGATGGAACTGGTCTGGAGAGGAAATAGATGAGGCCAGGGCTGGGGCCGAGGCAGGAGAGCTGGTGGGAAGCAGGCCCTCGCCCTGGGGCCTGCCCATCCTGCTCTGACGCCTCACCTGGGCTCTGTATGGACAGGAGGCCAAAGCCAAGCAGGAGAAAGTGTCTGCTCAGTACCTGAGTGAGATCGAGATGGCCAAGGCCCAGAGGGACTATGAGCTGAAGAAGGCCACCTATGACATCGAGGTCAACACGCGCCGCGCGCAGGCCGACCTGGCCTACCAGCTCCAGGTCAGAGCCACCGGCAGGCAGCCGCGGCCGCCCCGCCCGCCCACTTCTCTCCGGCTCCCCTCTCTCGTGTTCTGACTCCGATCCCCGTATCTCGCGCCCTATTTCTGACCCACCTCTTCCGTAGGAGGGAAATTTAAAAGACCTACACATTTCAGCTAAAAAGCAAAGAAAAGGTCAAGAGGTATATGACCTGCAGGGCTGGTCATGTGTTTGGAGCAGGTTGTGCCCTGTGTAATGGCCCCTGGATGGGCGTGAGCCAGAGCTGAGGTCCAGCCCACGCCCCTCACCAGCCGGTGCGTTCTGCACCCCCCAGAGGAAGAGGCGCCGTTTCGCATTTGCACAGGGCAGCCCTGGTGACCAAAGGGTGTGAGGAAGGAAACCCTGAAGTGGGGCTGTGACCCCTGCCGAGGGAGGCCGGCAGCCCTGGGCGTTGCAAGGAGGTGCAGTCAGTCCTCGTGTGCAGATTCTGCGCTGAGCAGTGCCTGCTCGCAAAGTGTATTGAAACTCCAAAGTCAGCCCTCGCGGCGCCTTTGCGTTTGCCTGCAGACGTGCAGGGAGAGGCAGCCACCCGAGGGCCTGGCGCACAGCTCCCAGTTGAGGTTGAGCAAGACGTTCTGCTTCTGGAAACGCTCATGCTATAAGCAGTGTTGTCTCCATAGAGTGTGTACTTCACAGCATACTCACCGCCACATTCCTCACCTGGTGTTCTCTGTTGGTGATTTCACCGCGGAAATGGCCGAGCATCGTGCTGAGTGCTGTCCGGCTTTCCCAGGTGCGGGGAGGTGGTGTCGTGCATGTGCATCTCCTCCTTCGTTCAGGCGCTCTGGTGTTGGCTGGAAGTTCGTTGGTAATGAACCAACATTTATTACATAAGATGGATTTAAACCAGGGTGGGGAGCCTTTTCTCTGCCAAGGGCCATTCGGATATTTATACATCATTCATGGGCCATACAAAATTATCAGCCTAAAAACTAGCCTGCTGTATTTGACCAAACGTTTATTTTTTTGGTTAATACCCCAGGATATATTTTCCCATTCCCATTGATTATATATATTTTCCCATTCCCATTGATTATATATATATATATATATATATATATATATTTTTTTTTTTTTTTTTTTTTTTTTAGAGCAAGTACAAGGGAGGTGGGGAGAGAGAGAGAAACATCGATGTGAGAGAGCCACATCAATTGGTCCCTCCCACACTCACCCCCACCAGGGCTGGGGCCAGGAACCTGCAACACAGGTACATGCCCTTGGTCAGGAATCGAACCCACGACCCTTTGGTTCGCAGGCCAGTGCTCTAACCACTGAGAAACTCCCGCCAGGGCAATGGTCAATCATTTAATAACTCACCCCAATGCCCTGGCAGGGCCAGGATGTTCCCGCCCCTGCTTTAAACAAACACATAAAACAAGGTTCTACATTGGCCTGTTGGTAAAAATGTTGTGGCCAGAGGCTCATGCCACCTAACCACACATTTTCCTGGGAACAAAATAAGTATTTTGTTCTACTTTATACAGCAGAACTACCGTGAAGAACGAGAGTCCACTGAACTTTGAGTAGCCTTTACGCAAAGGATAGTAAAATTAGGAAGTTCGTTTTTGCCAAGCGTTGGTACAGGCTAAAAGCATAATAAGTGCAAAACATCTTTGGTTGCGGGGATAAGTCCCTGGCTTGTGCGTTGCTACTTGAAGTGTGGTCTGCCTACCAGCAGCAGCAGCAGCAGCAGCCCTGGAGTGTTTGTTAGAAATACAAAGTCTCAGGCTCCAGCCCAGACCAAATCAGAGTCTGCATTTTAACAAAAATCCCTAGGTTGCCTCATGCATGCGTTGAAGTGTGAGAAGCAGTAACATAAAGGAAACCACTAGCATGGGTAGGACTATGGATAAGGTCCTTAATCTAACCATGGCTTTTTTCTGTCTGCAGATCAACAGATTGGGCTGGTTTGGGCTCTGTTTACCTTTAGTGAGTTCCTCATTTTGTGCCAGGCTTTGTGCTAGGTAATCATGAAATAATGATTCAGTCAATAAATACCTATGAAGTGCCTACTATGTGCCAGACATTGTTTTAGAGGCGAGGATAAACGTGTGAGTGAGACAGAAGAGACTCCTGCTCTCAGAGAGCGTACAGAGCAAGCCAGCGTGCGGCGGGCTTCAAGGCGCCGGGCTTCGGCAGCGGCGGCGTTACCGTATGAGGTCGGGTGCTCAGAGAAGAGTGCTGTAAGCAAATGATATTTGAAATAAAACCTGAAGATGCGAAAGAACCAGCAATGTAGAGAGTTGTGGGCCAAGAGTATTCTAAACCCGTGATGCTCACACAGAGCCTTTGTGCTGCTGGAAATGGTCTGCATTTTGCTGTGACGCTGAGCACTTGAAATGCGGTGGGTGAAATTGTGACTGAGGAACTGCATTTTACGTTTTAGTGACTATTAATTTAAAGTTAAATAGCCGTATGTGGCTAGTGGCCAGGCAGGGGACCAGCAGGTGGAAAGGCCCTGAGGTAGGAAAGAGCTTGGCATGTCCCAGGAGCAGAAAGGGGGTTTCTGATTGGTGTGGCTGGTGTGCTGAGGGAGAGGGGGCCAGGCTAGGTCACGGAGGGCTCAGGGAGCCATGATGGGCACTTAGAAGAGACTCAAAGCACCAGAGAGGTGCTGTGGTTCAGTTTATGTTTGTATAAGGATCAGACTGGCTGCTGCGTGGAGAATCGATGGTCAGAAGAAAGGCAGTAGGGAGACGAGTTGGAAGCGTTTTCAGAGATGATGGATTGAATAAATGCAGCTAAAACCTCATTACAACCACATAGAGTGGTTTTGAGAGAGAAGAAAGGGAGGAATGGCCACCGTAGCATCACTTTGGAAGCTGGAAAGCATGGTAGTTAACTGAGCAGGGCTGACAGGCGCCGTGTCGGAGGCTCAGGAGCCGGTGCAGCCATGGCCTGAAGACTGTCACAATCAGTAAAAACAGGTGAAGAGCCACTTCTCCGACTCCCTTGCTGACTCCCTGCCTGTGGGTCCCTTTCCTGGTCTCTCTGCCCAGCAGACATCTGGAGGGTTGTCTGGTGAGAGTAGACCAGAGGATGTGGCGTGGGGCAGCCGGACACAGGCGAGGCCTGGCCGTCGGCCGCAGGGCATGAACGGACTATGCACCCGTCGCACGCCGCACGCTGGCCCCTTCTCGCCCCGGGCCACTCAGCTCCCAGAGCCCCGTCTTCCAAAGGACAGATGAGAAGAGCGCCCTGGGAACATGACCGCCCCACGGGAGAGACCTGAAGATCCTGGAGCCGAGGTTTCCCAGCTGTGGCCTGCCCAGGCCGCCCAGAGTGAAGTTCTCAGTCCACAGGCCCCACACACAGCCCGGAGCTCCTTCCAGTGCGGTCAGCCTCTGGCCTGTGAGCAGGCAGCCAAGGGCACCTGTCTGAGAGGGAGACAGCAAGGCCAAGTGGAGGCGACGGCTCTGCAGGGAAAAGAAAGCTTTTGAAAAAATAAATGTGCTCAGTGAGATAAAAGAAGGATCCACATCTAGAAAGTCAGGAGATAGAACAGAAAACAAGAAATAGCTCTTAGAAATTAATAAACCCCAATAAATTCAATAAAGGGGGGCAGTAATAAAATGGCATAAATTTCCAAATCACTTTGGAAGAGAAATTCTAATAAAACTCCCCAGAAAAATAGAAAGAACAGACGGGTGGAGGAGCGGCCAGGCCAGCAGCTCCAACAGACAAAGAAAGGGGGAGGAAATAACCAAGTGAAAAATTTGCGAAATGTTTATCTGTTTTGAAGAGTGTGAGTTTCTAAATTGAAACAACCCACCAAGTGCCCAACACAATTAATGAGAAACATCTATATTGAAACACATCACTGAAATTTCAGATTCATGAGAACAAGAAAAGATCCAGAAGCTTCCAGAGACCTTTTCTCAAAGGTCAAAATGACTAGATCAAAATGACTAGATTTCTTAAGAAGTTAGAAGGCCATGGAGCAATGCCTTCAAAATTCTGATGAGAATGATTTCAACATAGTAACTGTACTCAACCTCACTAATTCAAATAGAAGGGCAGAGTAAGTCTGAGAAGGCGGGCCTAGAAAATCTACCGCCCACAGCCTCGGTCCAAGGAAGTGGCTGGAGGTGGAGTCCTCCAGAAGGTGGCCTTATGCTGCCCGGGAGCAGCAAGTCCAGTTTGGAAAAGGCTTGACATTTTCAGGTGGGGCCAGTCCAGGCAGGGACACCCCAGCCATGATGGTGATGGCGGGGCTGGAGCAGCGAGACGGGAAGGACGTGCGCTTCTTCCCTGCATCCAGCAAGGGCGCTCTGCTCCCTGGATGCCAGGAGGAAGAGCTGAAACCTGCCTAAATAAGAGGCATCTGTATGCAGGTTCCTGCATGTGCTTGTGAGTGCCCCTGGAAGGGTACACAGGACGCTGGGCACTGGTGGCTTTCGGGAGGGAACCAGGTCATTTGCAGAAATATTGGAAGCCTGACTTCTCACCGTGTGTTTTTCTCTCTTGACTTTGTATCAGATGCAAAAATAAAAGTGAAAAGGCACCCATGCACAGCCCCCGGAAGGGAAGCAGGACCTGTTGCAGGAGTGGGCGTAGTGGGTGGCTTGCACTAAGGTGGAGAGAGGGAGAGGGGTGGAGAGAGCCCGACGGGGTTGCCCTCATGCCACCAGGTGCTCACACTAGAGGGAGAGATGGTGGGAAACGAGTCCGTGGGAGCTCCTGGAGGGACTGCGGCCGGCCTGCCTGGCTGCAGAGGCCACTGGTCCCCGCCCTGTCCAGCTTGGACAGGCTGCCTGGGAGTCCTGGTCCTGGGTGCGGGCTGAGGAGGATCGGGCCGTGCATGCGTGGGTCTGTATAAGAAACGGACTCCACGGGGCCGGCGGAACTGTCCTGGGACCACTCCACCTACCCGACCCAGAGTCCTCCCCTGGCCTCCCTGGTCCTGGGCACTTGCCTTTCGCCCTGACGCCGAGCATCCTTCCCAGGTGGCCAAAACCAAGCAGCAGATCGAGGAGCAGCGGGTGCAGGTGCAGGTGGTGGAGCGGGCCCAGCAGGTGGCAGTGCAGGAGCAGGAGATTGCCCGCCGGGAGAAGGAGCTGGAGGCCCGCGTGCGGAAGCCGGCGGAAGCGGAGCGCTATCGGCTGGAGCGCCTCGCGGAGGCTGAGAAGTAAACGCCCTCCCGCCCCTCCCGCCCCCAGATAGAGACCCAGGTCTTCACCACCTGGACTCCTCCTGTGGCGCTCAGGTGGTAGGAGCCTCCACCCCGCTCGGGCCTTCCCCCTGTAGCCAGGGCCTCAGCTCCTTGCACCCCTGTTTGCCCAGGTCCCAGCAGATCATGCAGGCGGAGGCCGAAGCAGAGTCTGTGAGGGTGAGTTTGGAGGTGTTGCTGCGGAGCTGGGGTTTCTCACCCTCACCTGCTCCCTTCACATCACAGTGTCCTGTGCCCTCCCCAGATGCGGGGGGAGGCCGAGGCCTTCGCCATTGGGGCCCGGGCCCGGGCTGAGGCCGAACAGATGGCCAAGAAGGCAGAAGCGTTCCAGCTGTACCAGGAGGCTGCTCAGCTGGACATGCTGCTGGAGAAGCTGCCCCAGGTCAGGCATGTGCCAGGGGTCACCAGAGCCAGGCTAGGGGCCATGAGTTAGGGAGGGGAGTTATAAGCCAATGACCAAAGTGAAAAAGGATGACCTGTAAGACGGGATCTTAAAAAGCCCAGGGTAGCCTGGCCAGTGTGGCTCAGTGGCAAGAGCATGCACCCAAGGGTTGTGGGTTCAATTCCCAGTCAAGAGCAGGTACCTGGGTTGCAGGTTTGACCCTTGGCTATCAGGACACGATCGAGATGTTTCTCTCTCCCCCTCCCTTTCACTCTCTAAAAATCAATGGAAAAATGTCCTCGGATGAGGATTCACAAAACCCCAGGGAAAAGCCTTTTAGGAGGGTGTGGTCGGGCCACAGCCCTGAGTGGGCGTCTCACCCGCAGGTGGCAGAGGAGATCAGTGGTCCCTTGACCTCAACCAAAAAGATCACACTGGTGTCGAGTGGCAGTGGGGCCGTGGGAGCGGCCAAAGTGACGGGGGAGGTACTGGACATCCTGAGCCGCCTGCCGGAGAGCGTGGAGAGACTCACGGGCGTCAGCATCTCCCAGGTGAGGCTCCGGCCCTGACGCGCACCCTGCACGTGGACATGTATCAGTTGCTCTCTTTGTGCCAGTGCTCAGCTTTGACATAAATTTTTTTTATAAAAGAATGTTTTAATGGAACTACCCCTGAGGTACGTAGTGTTTTACAAAGTAGAGAAACTGAATGCCAACGTGTTAGTAACTTGGCCCACATCGTGCAGCTGGGAAGCCAGCTTCCCACCCAGCCCCTGTCCAGCACCAGGAACTGGGAGTCTGTTGGCAGTTAATTCCAAGGCATATCACTGCTTTTCTCGGCCTGTTGACTCACTTGGAGGTCATGGTAGAGGTCAGAGAGCAGCTCTGAAACCTGCTGGGGTGCAAATCCTAGTGCGTGCCGTGATCGGAGACGTTCTCAACTTCTGTACATGTCTCCTCACAGCTTAATAATAGCAACTGCCTGTTGAATTGTTACAGGGATTAAATGCGTAATACAGACAGTCCTCGGGTTACGTTGGACTCGATGTACGTCGTTTCGTGGTTATGTCGCCATCTCCCATTTATTTATAAAAAAAAGTTCCAACATTTTGACGTATGTACATATGTGCTTTATGTTTTTTATTATTTATTTACCACAAGTAAAGGTCAGGAATTGTTATCTTTTAAATTTTTTTTTACTGTTTCATTCATTACTGCTGTGTACGTGCTCCACGTGAGTGAGGTAGGTGCTTACGTAGGTGGGTTCCGACTTACGGCGAAAAGTCGCACCGTAGGAACGGATCTCCGACGCAACCCGAGGACCTACTGTATTTGCAGAGTGTTTGGAACACTGCCTGGTACGTAGGCACCATAGAAGAGTGTGTGAAACAGAAGTTCATGTATAAGTAAAAGCATCGGGCCACTTCCGGGGGTGCCTTGGAGCCTCCTTGAGGCCCGCAGTGAGGGCTGGGTCTTCAAGCCACGCTCTGGCCCCTCCCACACCCGTTCAGTAAGTCGCTGCGGGGCGAGGGGGTGAGGCAGGCTGCCGGAAAGCTAGCAGACCCCTCACTGTGCCGTCTGCCTGGAACTCATGCAAATGATATTGGATGTAAACTGTAATTAGGGAAAAAGAAAAAACTAGAAAAATTCTGGGTGTGCATTCATCCAAATGGGGCGTGAGGGAAGTTCCCGTGTCACCCGCTGTCGTCTGTTTACCAGGTGAACCACAAGCCTTTGCGAACTGCCTGAGCCCTCAACCTTCGCCGATGCCTCGCCTCATGTTCGAGCTGCCTGCACGATCCCCATGCTGCATGCATGTCAGCTGGCCTCCCAGAGCAGTCCTTGGGCAGTGGGATTCCGCTGCTCAGCTCTCCTTGCCAAACAGCCGTGCCTTGCCCCCTGCCCGGGCCCATACCACCGAGACTGCCAGTCCCCCGGGGGTCCACGCCAGCTGTCCGGTCATCCCAGTCCACCCAGCTTGTTTGGTTTCCTAATTAAACTACACTGAGCCTGTGGCCCAAAATTGTTTTCTGATCAAGACTGAGGGATAGCTGCCGGTTCTCAACTCGCCGGATAAATTGCTGTTAAGCCTTGACACTTGTGAACAATGAAGGTAAAACAGAACTCACTTGAAGTGAATGTTAGGACACAGCTTGCTTCCCTCCACTAGGCTGTTTAGAATGGGAGAGTTACTTGTACACTGAGGGGTGGTGGAATTAACTCCCCCCAAAAATCTTGGTTTAGTCCAGTGGTCGACAAACCGTGGCTCTCGAGCCACATGCGGCTCTTTGGCCCCTTGAGTGTGGCTCTTCCACGTGCGGGCGTGCATATACAGTGCGGTTAAGCTTCGTGGCCCATGTGCAGAAGTCGGTTTTCGGCCTGGGCGAGTCTATTTTGAAGAAGTGGCGTTAGAAGAAGTGGGGGGTGTCGGTCAGTCAGGCACGGGAGGAGCGGCACAGGCGGGCCGCGGGATACGCAGTGTTGGGGGAGGCACATGCGATTCATGCACCAGTTGAATGAGCCAGTCAGTCCGCAGTCTGTGCAGTGGTTAGTGCTAGTCACGTCCGCAAATTGCGCGCGGGTGACAAAAGTACCTACTCAAAGCATAAAGTTACCTGTATTTTTCCAACCAGCTGCAAATACTACAGGTATTTTTGTCATCAATTTAAGAATTGTAATTATTTTGTGTTGGTGGCTTTATTATTATAAAATGAAACATTTTTTTAGATGTATACAAGACGAGTGTGGATGGGAGAGTTGGAAGGGGTCGACCTCAGCAAACGTACCTAAATCAGACTGAGGACGTTTTTAGCAAAGGCCAGCTTAGGAGTACCCTAATTAAGTTAATAACGATGTACTACCTATATAGTTTAAGTTTAAAAAACTTGGCTCTCAAAAGAAATTTCAATCGTACTGTTGATATTTGGCTCTGTTGACTAATGAGTTTGCCAACCACTGCTTTAGTCAGAAAGCATGTTGATATGGAAGGAATGTAAGAATTGCATTAGTCCCTAGAATTACTGAAAATTGGCCAAGGGAAATTTAAATTTCCAGGTAACTTTGAGGCTTATTTTGTGCAACTTAAAAGTATGAGATAGTGCGCAGCCAGAGTGGCTCAGCTGGTTCCGTGTCAGCCCGTGCACCCAGAGGTTGCCGCGTGCATCCCCAGGGCACAGCCTAGGATGGGCACAAAGGAGCCGATCCATGTTCCACTCTCACAAGGATGTTTCTCCCTCTCCCTCTCTCTCTAGGAATCAATAAAAAAATCTTCAACAAAAGAACATACTAGAGCAGCAGTGTGTAGAATAGGCCCACGGGTGGCATCCCATGCTCGTTACCTGCATCTCAGGTTGTCTGAGAAAACCCACATGGTTGCAAATGCGACCCGAGGAATCCTGGGTGTTGTGCACGGAGGATGGGCAGCAGTGGCCTTCTAACTCAGTGGTTGGCAAACCGTGGCTCTCGAGCCACATGCGGCTCTTTGGCCCCTTGAGTGTGGCTCTTCCACAAAATACCACCTGCAGGCACGCACGTACAGTGCGATTGAAACTTCATGGCTCATGCACAGAAGTCGGTTTTGGGCCTGGGCAGGTCTATTTTGAAGAAGAATTGTTGATATTTGGCTCTGTTGACTAATGAGTTTGCCGACCACTGTTCTCATTCATGCTTCTTCTGGAGCATCTGAGACTGCTGGGATCCAACCTGGTTTTGGTTCAGTCCATTTCAATTCCTACATGCTGCCCGAGTATGTGCGCTTATGCCCACTCTAGTTAAGACTGCTGGGGGTGGGGTGGGTACCAGGGATGAAGACCTGAGGGTCAATTAAGGATTTTCTCACCCATTCGCGGAGAACAGAATACATATGTAAGAGAACCGGTCAGCTAAATGAGCTGCAAATATTTTTTCAGTTCCCATGTATTTTTGGCTTTGGGGGCAATGTTATTTTTTTCAATATGAAAAAACAGTTCAACGCAACAAATTTTAAGTGTGGATAGGACAAAACCAAAGATGTGGGGGAGGGGGTGGGCAATAACAAATGTTACCAAAAGACAAAAGGTGTCCTGTCCCCTCTCCTCGGGGAATGACTCCAACATCTAGGCGACAGTGTGTACCTTTCATACACGGACTGATACTCCTCTTTGGGTAAGAAACGGTGACGGGGAGGACCTTTCAGGAGGCTTAGGGACAAGGGGTCCTGGTTCTCCCTGGAACCCCGTCTCCATGCAGAGGAAGGAAGGGATTCGATGTGAGGTGGAGGTAAAGTGGAAGAGGGAAGGATCCTACTGGATGGAGTGGGGCAGACCCTGGAAACAGCTCACGACTGAAAATGGAGATAATACTGTTAATGCCTCCCCCAAAGCTGAAGGTGGAGCAGGAACACGTACCTGGGAACTGGGACTCGAACAACCTGAATCCCATTCTCCAAAATGGGGTGAACGCTACCCACTCTTCATAGGAACCTCAACTGGCTGGTTAGCGTGGTTTTTTCCCGTGGCTGCCTGCGGGCTTGGGGGGCGTTTTCAGTACAGGTCTAAGTGGGACCAGGTGACATCCAGCTTTCTTGGATAATTATGCTGAAAACAGGAAAACAGTACCTGGGCCCTGCCTGGTGTGGCTGGGTTGGTTGGGCACCATCCCATGCACGGAAGGGTTGCTGGTTTGGTTTGAGGTCAAGGGCACAAGCTCAATCCCTGATAGGGGGTATGCAGGAGTCCGCTGATCCATGTTATGTCCTCACATCAATGTTTCTCACTTCCTCTAAAAAACCATTTTAAAAATCTATATATATAAAAGCCTAAGCCACTGTTACAACAGGTCAACCGAACGCTATGACGCACTGACCACCGGCTGGCAGATGCTGCTGCCCCGATGGTCAGTGCAGTCCCACAGCCACCCTCCCACGGTCCCTTCCCCCACCCTCACACCCCCACCGGCCAGGCCTAGGGACCCCTCCTGTGTGTGTATATATATATATAAAAAATTTAACTGGATAGGAGGAAATAGGCACCAGAAGGAAATAAAAGTTACCCCGCAGAATGCCAGAAATATAGATTTCCCGGTGTGGAACAAGAGAGGAGACATTCAAGAAACAATGAATATTTATTGAGCCCTATTATGTGCCAGGCATTGTTCTAGAACACCCCTAAAACAAAGGAAAAAAAGGCAAAAATGCAAATTCTGAGGGAGACGAAAGGGGCAGCTGAGGAGAAAGGGAAAGGCTGAGGGAGCAGAGAAGCGTAGTGCAGGCACGGCCTCAGGCCTCCTCTTCGGCCTCCTCACCAAAATCCTCCTCCTCCTCGGCCGTGGCGTCCTGGTACTGCTGGTACTCAGACACCAGGTCGTTCATGTTGCTCTCGGCCTCGGTGAACTCCATCTCGTCCATGCCCTCGCCCGTGTACCAGTGCAGGAAAGCCTTGCGCCGGAACATGGCCGTGAACTGCTCCGAGATGCGCTTGAACAGCTCCTGGATGGCCGTGCTGTTGCCGATGAAGGTGACCGCCATCTTCAGGCCCCGGGGCGGGATGTCGCACACGGCTGTCTTGACGTTGTTGGGGATCCATTCCACAAAGTAGCTGCTATTCTTGTTCTGCACATTGAGCATCTGCTCGTCCACCTCCTTCATGGACATCCGCCCACGGAAGACAGCAGCCACGGTGAGGTAGCGGCCGTGGCGGGGATCACAGGCAGCCATCATGTTCTTGGCATCAAATACCTGCTGGGTGAGTTCAGGTACAGTGAGGGCGCGGTACTGCTGGCTGCCCCGGCTGGTGAGGGGGGCGAAGCCGGGCATGAAGAAGTGGAGGCGGGGGAAGGGCACCATGTTGACGGCCAGCTTGCGGAGGTCAGCATTGAGCTGGCCAGGGAAGCGGAGGCAGGTGGTGACCCCGCTCATGGTGGCCGAGACAAGGTGGTTCAGGTCCCCATAGGTGGGCGTGGTCAGCTTGAGGGTGCGGAAGCAGATGTCGTAGAGGGCCTCGTTGTCGATGCAGTAGGTCTCATCAGTGTTCTCCACCAACTGATGGACAGAGAGGGTGGCGTTGTAGGGCTCCACCACCGTGTCAGACACTTTGGGCGAAGGCACCACGCTGAAGGTGTTCATGATGCGGTCGGGGTATTCTTCACGGATCTTGCTGATGAGCAAGGTGCCCATCCCAGAGCCTGTGCCCCCGCCCAGCGAGTGGGTCAGCTGGAAGCCCTGCAGGCAGTCGCAGCTCTCAGCCTCCTTCCGTACCACGTCCAGGACCGAGTCGACCAGCTCAGCCCCCTCTGTATAGTGGCCCTTGGCCCAGTTGTTCCCGGCCCCAGACTGACCTGGAATGGGGCCAGGAGGCAAGCTTGATTAGTAAAGTGTAGTACATGCACATCACATCTTCACCTCGCACCTCTTGGGATAATGGATCGGGGACTATCTTTTCTCCCTCACCTGTGATATAAGTCCCTAATAGTTTACCAAGTGTGGCAGCCACCCCCCACCCTCCATTAGCTCTCAGAACATGGCCCTATAAAAGCTCTCCAGCACAATAATCATTTCCTAACTCTTCCTGCCCTCTTGCACCCAAATAAATGGAATATGATGCCATCTGCATGTATCTGTATAACTTACCAAAAACAAAGTTGTCTGGTCTGAAGATCTGGCCAAAAGGACCAGAGCGAACAGAGTCCATGGTACCCGGTTCTAGATCCACCAAGATAGCACGAGGGACATATTTCCCACCTTCAGGGAAGAAAAGTAGAGGAATGAACATTGGCAGAAGGTAAATAAATTGGGGCTGGATGACAGCCAGGGACCCAAACGTGTGACTCCAGGGGCTGCTAAGTGACAGTGGAGCTAGTCTTTGATCCCCATGGTGAGAAATTAGAGGAAGGTTTACAAAGGAAAAGGAGAGATTCATTCAAAGGAGTTAAGGGTTCCCTAGGAATGGAAAGAGACGCCAGGAGGAGGAGATGGCGCCTGATCTTCCCGGCTCCTCCCCTCACCTGTGGCTTCATTGTAATACACGGAGATGCGGTCCAGCTGCAGGTCGCTGTCCCCATGGTAGGTGCCGGTGGGGTCGATGCCATGTTCATCACTGATCACCTCCCAGAACTGTCAGGAAAGAACGGTGAACCCTCAATTATGCCCTTGCTCCCACCACTTTAATTCCAAACACACTGTGCAGGCATCCCCTCCATCTGCCTGCGCGCCCCTCCCTCTGACACCTCCACCCACGGGAAAGCCGCCTTGCGATGTGAAATGATGTCCAGCTGGGGGGACCGGCGATCGCAGACACAGATGGGGTGGACGCAGGTGGCTAACCTAACTAGGTAAGCTCACCCCTCGCCCCCACGCAGGGCATGCACGCCGCGCACAGAGAGCCAGAGAAACCAGCTGCCGCAGTGACCGACCCCCGCCCTCCGCCCGGAGGTAGCGAACGCCAAGCTGCTGAACGCCAAGCTGCTGACAAAGGGAGGCGTCGCGCGTGGGCGGGGCCGAGGCGAGAATTCAGCGCGAGGGGCGGGGCCTGCCCTGAGCTAGCGCGCCCCCTGGCGGCCCGCGGGGCACAGCGCCCGCCCCTGAGCCCAGCCCTTTTGCTACAATGTAGCTGCCGATAGCGGCCGCACTTTCTCCCCCGCTACACTGTAGCCGCGCGCAAAAGGAAAGAAAGAAATAGCCCCTTGGCCTCGGAATTGTATCCCTTGGCCAACTTCCCCTCCTCTTGCTTTAAAGGAGGATTGTCTTGCTTTCTCCCACAATTTAGTCCTGCGGGGACCCTTTAAAGAAAAGGAAGCCCTCCTTTTCACCTTATCTGTTCAAGCCCTAAAAGGGTCTCTAAGCGGAAATAAAGGAAGCAAAATGAATCCAGCTCATATTAGTCTTCCATCCACGAAAAACTACGGGCCTGCCCCGCGGGAATCATAGAGGCGCGCCGAGACCCCTGGTCTTTCGTGGAGGTAACGCGTCCCCAGCTTGGGAACCGGGGTCTGCAGGTGTCCCCCCATCCTGGCCCCTTTCACCTCGGGCTTGGCCTGCGAAACCCCGCCCAGGGGGATGCACATGGAGGAACCTCGCCTCGCTTTGTCTCGGGCAGTTTCCGCATCTCCTTCCCTCCCCGACCCTCGGACCGTTAGGAGATTCCCTTTAGGTAAAACCTTACAGAACCTCGGTCTTCCAGTCCCCCAAACTTCAAGGGTGCTTTTGATAGCTCCCCCAAAATGATTCTGCCAAAAAAAAAAAAAAAAAATCCCCATTTTCCAAAAGCAAATTCTACTGCAAATGTGTATTATACATATAAAATTTCCTTTTGGCAAAGGTTGGCTAAGGCTGGAGACGGCAAACAGCCCACAACCATTCTGCACAGTTTATCTGGATTCTTTTCTTCACAAAAAGAAATAGAGTTAAAAGAGGTTTTAAATCCTTACCTTGGCACCAATCTGGTTGCCACACTGACCCGCCTGGATGTGCACGATTTCCCTCATGGTTCAAATTTAAAAATTTTGCCCGCTTCAAAAGTGTATGGGGCAAGAAAATCTCTAATCTTTTCTCCGCTGCTCAAGGCGGTGGGATGGGACGTGGCCGGAGGCTGGAGCAGGGAGTCCGCACGCCGCGGCTGGCAGGCTGCGAGAGGCAGAAAGGCGAGCGCGGGGCGCGGGCGAAGCAGCGAGGGCGGGGCGCGTCGCCGGCGGGGGCGGGAGCTGGCCGCGCCGCGCCGCGCCGCGCTCCCAGACAAAGCCTCCGCGAGGCGGGCCCTGATTAGTCGACGCCGGTCAGGCAGCCGCCGACCATTGGCCTCTGCTCGGGCGAACGAGCGCAGTCCTCTCTGGGAGTTGTAGTCCTCCATTGTTGTCCGCACTGCAAAAAGGAAGGGGCGGATGGGTGGATACTGCTTTGGGGTGTTTGGGATTTGGGGCGTTTTATGAAAATGACCTTGCCAAGATGACTTTCCTCTAGGTCTGAGTTTTTTTAATGCAAAGAGGGAGTCGTTTTCGGGGCTGCAGGAATTAGGAACCACAGGGTGCTGGCGTTGGAAGGTGGGGTGGCCACGCCCTGAAAGCTCCCCGCTGCGGTAGCTCCGGGGAAGACGGGGCTGCTGAGCTCAGCGAAAGCAGGAGCACCGGCCCTCGGCTCTGCTGTCTAACAACTGGCCCTTGGGTGACCCGAGACATGAACGCTAGGCCGCTGCTCCCCCAGATACCTCAAGCAGGAGGGGATTGCCTTCCTGCTATTTCCTCGGGAGTTTTCTAACGATAACATTTAGAAAGAGAAACAAAATTGCAGCAAGGGCTTTTACAGGATAGAGATGTAATTGTCTGGAGGGTATGTTCAAAGAACAAACGAATGGTTGAGAAAAGCTCATATCCGGATCTGGGAAGCCAGAAGTCTCCGTCCACGTAGGACATCTGGGCCTTAGAGCAGCGTTGGAGACTCCGTGGTTTTGTCAAACACAGAGCCATGGGGTGAGCTGCCTGCCAGAATTTCATTCCTTCCAGCCTGCCTTTCCACACTTTGAAGTCCGTGGTTTTTCAGTTCGCGGGTTTCAAGAGCCTCAGGATATACATTTCAAAATGGGGAGAGGGTATTCACGGGAGAAAATTGGATGGGTTCAAATCAAAGTGCCAAGCTTTTTCTCCCGGATTAACTCACGGTAGATTCTGAGTGTCCCCCAGGCCAGGGGCAAGGGATACAAAAATGATTATGAATTAGCCCCTGGCCTCCAGGACCTTGCAATCGGGTGAAAAGTGGACAAAGAATATAGTAGGCACTATAACAGAGGACACGTGATATCAAGGTCATCATCGTTACTTCTTGGAGTCAATACACATCTCTCAGTCACAAATAAAAGAACATCCAATTGTGTAAGAAGACCCCTCTACCCACTTAAAATAGAATGTTTTGGGGCATAATCACAATGAAAGTGGTTCTTTTGTGATAGTGGAAAGAGTTTAGAATTTAGAATGAAAGGACTGGTTTCAATTAGTCCTTACCTTATATGAGCTGTAGAAACCCAGCCACGTCATTGAACGTAGCAGAGCTTCAATTTCTCTGTAAAATCTACTTCTGTATTTGATAGTTGTGGTCAGAATGAAGTGAGATAGCGAATGGAAAAGGACGTTCTACATTATACACATGTCAAATTTTACTATCCTCTTCTTGCTTGTCTTAGTATGAGATAATGAAATAAATGGTTTTATCCTTTCTTCATTCCTTGAAATACCTCGGTCAGCCTTGAGAGGATAGCAAAAAGGGTTCCCTCTGTTGGCCTAGGGATCTTTGCTTTAGGTAAACGATCTAAAATATCCATCAGGGCTATATTCTCAGGGAGGAAATGACATGACTTCCACACAAGCAAATCAAAAGGAAATGAACTTCCATTGCAGTGAGGAGTCCTCAAGCGCCACGCCTGCGGGCTGTTCTCCAAACTGCAGCCTCCGGCCACGACAGCAACTCAGTTCCATTTCCCTGAGTCAGCAACCACCAGGTCTGGGAGGCCTTGGCAGGAGCCGCTCTAGGCGCCGCCCGCAGCGAGACTCTGTGGTCGTGGTTTGGGTGTCTGCGCGGGAATGGGCGGCGGGCGGTGACGCGGCCGGGGTGGCTCCTGGACCTGCCCAATCGAGGTGCGCTCTTCCGAACGCGCGCGGCGGCCTCGCCTCTCTCAGCGGGTTTCCGGCCCCGGGAGAGCCGCCCGTGAGAGCGGTAGGGGCGGGGTGGGGCGGGGCCTCCGCCTGGGCTGCGTCAATCGGCTCGCAGCGGGCTGTGAAAGACAGCGACTGGAACCAATCAGCGGACCGGCTCGGCTCGGCGGGAGCGCTCGCGCCACCGCGTCGCGACCGTTACTGGTGGCGCGCGCGGGTCTCACCGCGGGTGAGTTCTGGGGGCCGAGCCCGCCCCTGCCCGGTGCCATCTTGTTTCTCCGGGGGCGGGAGGGGTGTGCTTTGGTGCGACTGGGCGGAGGATCCTTGGAAGTTGCTGGTGGGGTTGTAATACTCATCCTGGCCCGACGCCCGGCCCCGAGCTGGGGGTGCGGGCGCAGGGAGACGGGCCCGGAGGGCGGCCGGTGGGTGGGAGCCCGCCTGTCCCTGTCAGCGGCTTCTCCCTAGGGTGGCATCTCTCAGTGAAGTCCGCCCCGGCTCCTCTCACTGTTCTTCCGCCGCTAGACTCGGCGCTGTGACGCCAGGAGGGCAGGGCTAGCGGTTCGGTTCATGACTGTCTCTAATAGTTCGAACGGCGCCAGGTGCGCGGTAAGTCCTGGTGAGCGAAGAGGATGGACCCCGGAGGGAGAGACAGTCCCGCGGGCCCGGCCGCCCGCTGCGAGGACCGGGAGCTCTAGTGACTAGAAGTCCGCGCGCTCTCCGCGCAGCGGTCGGGCCGCCGGCGGCGGTGCGCTGGTCGGAGGGGCCGGGCCGGAAAGCGCGGGGCGAGGCGCGCAGACGGGCCGGCGGGCCGTGCTCAGGGACCGGGAGCCGCGCGTGGCGGGGACACAGGCTTCGGTCACGGTGGCTCCCGCCAAGGAGCTTACATGCCATTTTACCCTGTGGACATGGAAAGCCATTAGAGAACATTAAACAGGAGAGACAGCCGGGTGCTCTTGGGCAAGTTCCTTACCCATCTGTGTTTCAGCGTCTTTTTTTTCTTCAGACAGAGTGGGGGGAGGGGGGGAGACACCTCGATTGGCTGCTTCCCGCTCTGCCCGCCCCGCCGGGATCAAACCAGGGGCCTTCGGTGTGTGGGCCAACGCGCCAGCCACTGAACAAATTGGCCGGGGCTCTTTCTTTTCTTTGTATTTTTTTAAATTGATTTGAGAGAGAAACATCGATTTGTTGTCCCGCCTATTTGTGCACCGTGGGTTGATTCTTGTGTGTGCCCTGGCCAGGGATCGAACTCAAAACCTTGGCCTATCAGGATGGTGCTCTAGCCAACCGAGCCACCCGCCAGGGCTGTGTTGCATTCCTTTATCAAATAGGACATGATAATAAAACTTTACAGATTCAGACGATTAAATGAGTCCGTTTAGTCTCAGCACCAAGCACGGGCGTTGCAGCCAGACACATACTTAGTCCCGTCCTTTACACTACCTGCTGTGTTATCCAGAGCAAAGAATTTAATATTTTTATCCTTGGTTTCCTAAAGGCCTGCCTCACGTGGCTACTATGCCTGACGCATAACACAGTGCCCAACATGTAGTTGATGCTTGGCAAAAGTTAACTCCCTTTGAAATGGTGTTTTCAAACTAAGTTGCAACCCAATAGTGGATATTGAAGTCAATTTAGGGATTGCAAATCGCATTTAAAAACAAAAACAACGAAACCTATTACATATAGCAAGGCTGAGCATTGTTTCTCAAAACAGCTGTCTATATAAATGTGTCTATATAAATATGTGTACACATATTCTCTAAGCTATGATTTTTTTGCAATATTGTAAAAGTGGTATACATAATATATTACATTAGATATTCAACCCTCTATTATAGAATAGGCTCTGTAGTGGATGATTTTGCTCAACTGTAGGCTAATGTAAGTGTTCCTAGCATGTTTAAGGTAGGCTAGGCTATGCTATGGTGTATTAAATGCATTTTCATCCTACAGTATTTTCAATTTATGAGGGATTTATCGGGATGTAACTACATTGTAAGTTGAGAAATATTTGCTTGTGAACTTGGGGCCTTATGATACTTATTTCTTATTCCATGTTCTGGTCAGAAATATTTTTTCAGTGCTTTAGAAGGATAACAACAGAATGCTTGGCATAAAGAGAAGCATCAAACTGAATAAATATCCAGGTTTACCCCTAGTTGTGAGTCTCCTCTCTGAGACTGTATGAACAATGATAGAGATGATAATGTGTTTCCTTCCCAGGTCATGGAGGACACTCAGGCTGTTAACTGGGAGGTTGAAGAGGAGGAGGAGACAGAGAGACCCAGTGACTCCGTGGGGTGTAGCCTGGAGCCCCTGGGGCGACTGCATGTCTTCAGTAGTGCCCACGGACCAGAAAAAGGTCGGGGGTAGTGATGCTGAAGCACTGGTGTAGGCTTTCTTCTGTGGGGAGGGAGTGGGAGGCTCTAAGAAACTTACGTATACATTTTGTTAATCTTCACCTGAAAATATTTTTTCCATTGATTTTTAGTAATTTTTTAAAAACATGTTTTTATTGACTTCAGAGAGAGAGGAAAGAAGAGGGAGAGAGAGAAACATCAATTACAAGAGAGAATCATCGAACAGCTGCCTCCTGCATGCCCCCTTCTGTTTATCAAGCCTGAAACCTGGGCATGTGCCCTGCTGGGAATGGAACTGTGACCTCCTGGTTCATGGGTTGGTGCTCAACCACTGAACACACCAGCCAGGCTCCATTAATTTTTAGAGAGGAGAGAAGGAAAGAGAAACATTCATGTGAGAGAGAGAACATCAGTTTGTTACCTCTCGCATGTGCCCTGACTGGGGCCTGGGATCGAACCTGCAACCCAGGTACATGCCCTTCACGGAATCAAACCCACAACCTTTTGTGCATAGGCCAGCACTCTAACCACTGAGAAACACCAGCCAGGGCAAAACTTGTTTTCAAGGAGATCTGAAAAAATGTTTTACTGGGAATGGAGAAGAGGGGGCTAATTGACTTGTTGCAGGCAAGAGCCCTGGACTTGGGATGGTTTTACTGTACACTTAAAAAGGGTTACAGTGCTATATTTTATGTTTGTTTTATCACAATAGAAAAAATCCAGTATGGATGGGTGGAGTGTTGCCTATGAATAATGTATTGCATATAATCTTCAATACTTAGATGTCCTAGGGCCTTTTATTTTTCTATTGCGTGTGAGGACCTTGAATGAGTAGTTGGGTACTTAACCAGAAATTTTCCCAGTAGCAGGCCAGGAATGTGGCCTGGAACCTATCTACCCTCTAATTCTTAGATTTCCCACTCTACCTCGGGAAAAACGTGGTAGGCCGAATGCCTGATTGCTCTGTGGCCCTGCCCTTTCCATCCATCTCCAAGCAACATGCAGTGATTGAAATCTTGGCCTGGGACAAGGCACCTGTCCTCTGGGATTGTGGGAGCCTCAATGGTACTCAAATCCTGAGGCCTCCTAAGTTCCTGAGCCCTGGGGTGAGTCATCGTCTGAGGGACCAGGAGTTGGTTGTCTTTGCTGACTTGCCCTGCCAGTACCATCGCCTGGATGTCTCCCTGCCCTTTGTCTCCCGGGGCCCCCTAACTGTAGAGGAGACACCCAGGGTACAGGGAGGAACTCAACCCTGGGGGATCCTATTGGCTGAGGACTCAGAAGAGGAAGTAGGTAAGTGCATGTATTTGGGAGGGTGGGCAAGGAGACGGGGATGGTGAATGTAAAACTGTCAACTTCTTTCTACTCTTGGCAGATCCTCTTTCTGAAAGGAATATGGTGAATGAACCAAGGACCATGTCCTCCCTTTTGGCAACAGTGGTTCCAGAGAGGTGAGTGTTGAGGGCCAGACACCTGAGTCTTCAGAAAGAGAAGGAACCTGGGACTGAATGATCCATCTGTAAGAGAGAATCGTCATGGAAATCGTCATCTTTCATTAACTGAATTTTCATTGAGCACCTTTGATGTTCCAAGTGGAGAACTAATTGCTGGAGATAGAAAAACAAATACTACCTTGTTTCTGCTCTCCAGGAGCTCACACTTGAGTCAGGTGTCCCTTCCTGGGAAATGATTCTATAAACTCTTTCTCTTCTCTTCCCTTTATAGTGATGAAGAGGGGCCTTCTTCTGCCCCAGATGGTCCTGGGCCACCTTATGCCTTCAACCTGGACAGTGACACAGATGAGGAAGAAAGTCAGCAGCCAGCAGCAGGGTGGGCCTCCGCAGCTGCCACAGGAGATGCTGCCGCAGAGACAGGACAGCCTGAGGCTGTCAGAACTGAAATCCAGGTTGGAAAGGATCAGTCTTTGGGGCAGGAGAGGAACAGTGACATAAGAGTCAAGAGAGATGCAAGCAATGGGGTGATTCTGGAGAGGAGCCAGCCCCCTGGGGAGGACAGTGAGACAGATGTGGAGGATGAAAGCAGGCCTCCAGGAAAGCCAGCTGAGGGCCATCTCGAAAGGGCCCAGCCTTCTGGCTTCATAGACAGTGATACTGACGTGGAAGAAGAGGGGATTCCCACGACCCCAGCTGTGGTGCCCATGAAAAGAAGGCAGATCTTCCATGGAGTTAATGCAGAGAGTCCTGGGGGACCTGACCTGGCACATCTTCACGAGAGCCCGGCTGGCAGTGAGACAGATGAGGAGGCTGAGGCCCCACTCACGGTCCCTCTGGAGCGAAGCCAAGCCTCCGTGGTGAGCAGCAGCAATGCAGATGATGAGGAAGGAGTGTCAGCAGCACTCACTTTGGTGCAGCTGAAGGAGAGCCGAGCCACTGCCTGGAACAGAGATACAGATGTGGAAGAGGACAGAGCCCAGCCTCCGGCTTTTCTTGAGCAAAGCCAAACTGCTACTGGGAGAAACAGTGGCACAGACATGGAGGTGGAGGGGTTCCCAGTAGAAAAGAGAGGCTATGTTCCCAAGAGTCACACAGACAAAGCTCAGCCAGAAAAGAGTCCGCCTCCTTTCGGGGACGGTGACAGAGAAGTGGAAGAAGAGAAGAGCTCCCCCGGAGTCCTGGAGAGAAGCCAGGCCTCTGCCACAGTGGGCACCAACACACACGTGGAAGAGGAAGTCTCCCCGGGGCCAGCTGTTACGCTCCCAGAGAAGCATGAGGTGCCTGTGGCAGGCACAAATCCAACAAATGTGGAAGCAGAAGGGGGCCCAGCAAAGCTGCCTGCCCTGTGCCTAGAGGAAGCCCAGCCTCCTCCAGGTGGGTACTGTGGAACAGATGCTGCGGAGGGTGCATCCTCCGCAGTGGCAGGTGTGAGAAAGAGCCAGCTTCCAGCAGAAGGGGATGCTGGGACAGAGTGGGTTGTTCCTGTCCTTCAGCCAGAGAGAGCTCTTGAGGCGGCAGCCCAGGGTGGATCACCTTTAGCACAAGTAGAATAGGACCATCTCCTTGTCTAAAGGGAGAACCTGACAGATCTCTTGGTAGACACAGGTACTGCAGGGGAACCCACCCAGGCACAGAGAAAGGGAGCCCAGCCCCCCAGAGAAAGCAGGGGAGAACCACATGTGGACATGACCAAGGACTGTGGACACAGCCATGATGATGGTAAGTGCTGGGCTGCTCTCCTTCCTTGATCTCTGAGATAAAGAAAGCTTACAGGGAGACTTAATCCATTCAAGCTGCTGCAACAAAATACCAGAGGGGATGGCTTGTAAACAGGAAACATTCCTCACAATTCTAAAGGCTAGAAAGTCTAAGATCAAGGCACCAGCAGATTCAGTGTGTGGTGAGGGCTTGCTTCCTGTTCATAGGTGGTCCACTTCTCACCATATCCTTAACTGGCAGAAGGGCACAAGGGTGCTCTTTGGGGTCTCTTTTATAAGGGCACTAATCTCATTCATGGGGGCTCCACCCTGAGGACCTAAACACTTCCCAAGGCCCCTGCCTTCTAGTACTATCTCATGGGGATATTAGAAATAAGAATGTGGGGTGGACTCTTCCCAAAAGGGGCCAAATGTGGCCCCTGAAAATGGTTCACTATTCACTTGACCCAGAAAACCCCACAAAATCATGCAAATCAAGAGGTTCAGATCTTCGTGTTCACTTTAAGAACACCCGTGAACTGCCCAGGCCGTCAAGGGGGTGCCTGTCTAAAAAGTCACCAAGTATCTGAGGATGTCGCTTGACAGGAGCAATAGGTGTCATTCCATCATTGCAATACCTACCTGGGCTGGTAGGTATGCCCAGGCCAAACAGTGGGGCTGGACACAGAGTCGGTGGCCCAAAAAGAGTGCTGATTTTTGCTACACACGCTTAAAATGCAGAGAGCTTAACTTACGGGTTTAGCTGTAGACTCTCTGGTCACTGAGCACATCCAAGTGAACAAAGTCCCCAAGATGTGGCATAGAATTTGCAGCGCTCATGGCAGATTACCCCCCAACATGAGCTCTCCATGCCACCTGGAGGAGACAGTACAGAAAAGGACCAGATGGTTCCTAAACCAGAAGAGGTTGCACAGAAGAAAAACATGTCCCAGAAGAAAGTGAGGAAACAAAAACGTAAGACCCGGGAGTAAATTTAGCATAAAATGAAAGTTTTGGTGGTGTTTTTTTTTTTAAAGAATGTGTGGTCCTAGCCGCTTTGGCTCAGTGGCTAGAGCAGGGGTGGGCAAACTTTTTGACTCGAGGGCCACAATGGGTTCTTAAACTGGACCGGAGGGCCGGAACAAAAGCATGGATGGAGTGTTTGTGTGAACTAATATAAATTCAAAGTAAACATCATTACATAAAAGGGTACGGTCTTTTTTTTTTTTTTTAGTTTTATTCATTTCAAACTGGCCGGATCCTGCCCGCGGGCCGTAGTTTGCCCACGGCTGGGCTAGAGTGTCAGCCTGTGGACTGAAGTGTCCTCAGTTCAATTCCAATCAAGGGCATGCACCTAAGTTGTAGGCTCAATCTCTGGCCCTGGTTAGGGCTTGTGTGGGAGGCAACCAACCAATGTGTCTCTCTCACCTCGATGTTCCTTTCTGTCTCTCCCCCTCCCTTCCACTCTCTCTAAAAATCAATGGAAAAATATCCTTGGGTGAGGATTAACAAAAAAAAGAAAAAATAATGTGGGGTGGGACACAGACATTCAGTCTTGCCTAGGGATTTGAGTTGGGGAGAGAATTGTAGAGAAAAAGTAAGACATGGGTCAGATGTGATTTTTTATTCTGTATTTCTCCACCACCAGATTCTGAAGATCTAGACCAACAAGCTACCCAGTGCTTTGTGGAGAGAGAGAGCCAGAGCCTGGACGGTGAGGGCATTTGTGTCATGGGGACGCTGTGCACAGCAGGAGCAGGGAGATTACACTGGTGGTCCTTGAAGGGTGTGAGGCTGGCCAAGGCAGGGCAGGGGACTGAGAATGGCCTGGAGCTGTGTGCTTAGGCCACCTTTTCCTGCGCAGCAGTCCCGAGCATGGAGGATGAGCCCACCCAGGTCTTCCTGTTTACTCCACCCCAAGAGCCTGGCCCTTCTTCCCATTGCAGCTTCCAGGCCTCAGGTATAAGAAACTCCCCTCCTCTGTGCCCCTAACTTTGCCTCCTGTTTTCTCCCTATACATGTTTCTTTCATATTATTTTATTTTTTTGCTGATGTTTCTCCATCTTACTAAGGGAAGAAAGTCATATTTAGTTAGACCCATAGAGCAACTTGTCTAGCATAACTTTTACACTTGATCTTAGCCAAAAGACCAAGAAGCGTTCTGTAGCATAGTTTTTAAGAGACTGCTGTGAGAGCTTTTATATGAAGTATGGTCTTACTTTTTGAAACAAGCATTAAAAGTTACAACTATCCTCCTTACTCGTAGCTTTTTATAAATAGCCCATATAGATTTATTGTTCATGAATTTACCTTCATTCTTTCTCAACCTGTTACCTCCTCTCACTCTCACTCTCACTCTCACTCTCTACTTCCAGGTGCCCTGGATGAGCCTTGGGAAGTCTTGGCTACACAGCCATTCTGTCTAAGAGAATCTGAGGCCTCTGAGACCCAGCCCATTGCTACCCACCTGGAGGCCCATGGATCTTGCCCCTTGTCGCCCAGGCCAACACCTCAAGACCAACATCTGGAAAACCCATTTCACACAGAGCCATTGGGGATTCAAGGCGGAGGGTTGCAGACTTCGGAGAAAGGCATGGGTACACCAAGAGAAGCAGCAGAGAGGGTGACCCCAAAGAGAGAACCATTAGAGAGGGAAACCAGAAAACTGCCACCAGCAGGGTCAAGAGAAGATGTAATGGGAGAGGAAGAATTAGCCAGGGTGATGAAGGACAGGGAACAAAAGCAGGTGTTAGCTAGAGACACTCGGACACAAGAGTCCAATAAAACTGGAAAGTGCAAGTATGGAAAGGGATATAGAGAGTTTGAAGGTAGAAATTGAGACACCCAAGGAACTACAAGAGGTGGTAAAGCAGTCTTTTGCAAGTGAAGTATTTAAGAAGGAAGCAGGGAAACTAGCACCAGAGAAAGATTGTGAGCCAGGTAGGTTAGAAGTCAACATATCCAAAGTAATACTGGAAGGAGGCGCACAGAGAGGGAGCCAGGACCAGAAAGGGCAGTCCTCCAGTCCAACACTGGACCCTGAAGGAAGGGCAGGGGACCTTGTGGACTATCATTAGCCCTGATAGCGTCTAGGAGCCAGTCAGGGGGAGGGAGGTAAGTCCCAGGAGGCAGCAGAGAGGTGAGTGAAGGCAGAGGTTAAGACCCACCCAGGTGTTAACAAAGCCTTATGATAACCCCTAAGTAACTGCCTGCTTGGACCTCAGCCACACTTGTCTTTACTTTCTGTCTAGGACCCCTGAATTGCAAGATGTCCCCGGCTGAGAAGGCTTCTAGGGTGAGAGCTGCTTTCTCTACCTCCCCTCCACTGCCCCTTACCAGACCTTGCTTTCACCTGCTCTGCCCCATCTTCTCCACTGTCGTCATTTCCACCACTCTCAGTTGGCTTCTGGCCCTTTACATTGGCACCTGTTGTTTTCAATCTATCTGTTCCAGCTCTGTTTCCCTCTCCCTGACTCAGAAAGAACATCCCTTTCTTCATGTCCCTTCCCTCTTTTCCCAACCACCCATCGTCCATATATTGACAGCACTATCCTGGCCTTACGGGGAGAGGTCTGTGGGAAGAAGTCCCAGTCTAATGGAAGATGGTCAGAGACAGAAAGAGAAATGCCAGTGAGCGTACTTCCACTGTAACAAGTATTGAGAACAGTGTCCAGTCCTCTCTCCCTCCCTCACGGGCTTCTATTTCTCCCCAGGGTGATCCAGGATCCCTAGATGTTTGTCTGCCTCCAGCAGTCCCTGAAGCCTCAGCCCCAGTCCAAAACCCCCTCATCCCTCAGAGCCAAAAACATCTTGCTTCTCAGCCCCTCTTTGCTCCATCTCCACCTTTAGAGTCGCCCATTCCCAGCTCCAGGCAAAATGGGAGTCAGGAAGCTCTGGAGAATCCCTTGTCCTCAGAGCTGGACCCTCTGCATGCAAAATCCAAATGCAGGCCCCAGGGGTGCTCCAGGGTGACACCCTCTCCAGCTTCTGTAGCCCCTGAGCTCCACCCTGCCCCCTCCAGAGAGCAGCCTGTCCCCCCTGAGCCCACAGCTCGGGCCACGCGGGGCAGGACACACAGGGCCTCTGTCGGGACCCCTGAAACGACTGTCCCCACAGACCAGCCTGTCCCCCCTGAGCCCACATCTCAGGCCACGTGGGGCAGGACACACAGGGCCTCTGTCAAGACCCCTGAACCGACTGTCCCCACAGCCCCTGACCTTGTACCTCCGACCCCTACAGACCAGCCTGTCCCCCCTGAGCCCACATCTCGGGCCATGCGGGGCAGGACACACAGGCCCTCTGTCAAGACCCCTGAACCGACTGTCCCCACAGACCAGCCTGCCCCCCCTGAGCCCACTTCTCGGGGCAGGACACACAGGGCCTCTGTCAAGACCCCTGAACCGACTGTCCCCACAGACCAGCCTGTCCCCCCTGAGCCCACATCTCGGGCCACACGGGGCAGGGCACACAGGGCCTCTGTCAAGACCCCTGAACCGACTGTCCCCACAGACCAGCCTGTCCCCCCTGAGCCCACTTCTCAGGGCAGGACACATAGGACCTCTGTCAGGACCCCTGAAACGACTGTCCCCACAGCCCCTGACCTTGAACCTCCGACCCCTACAGACAAGCCTGTCACCCCTGAGCCCACATCTCGGGCCACGCGGAGCAGGACACATAGGGCCTCTGTCAAGACCCCTGAACCGACTGTCCCCACAGCCCCTGACCTTGAACCTCCGACCCCTACAGACCAGCCTGTCCCCCCTGAGCCCACTTCTCAGGGCAGGACACATAGGGCCTCTGTCAGGACCCCTGAAACGACTGTCCCCACAGCCCCTGACCTTGAACCTCTGACCCCTACAGACAAGCCTGTCACCCCTGAGCCCACATCTCGGGTCACGCGGGGCAGGACACACAGGCCCTCTGTCAAGACCCCTGAACCGACTGTCCCCACAGACCAGCCTGTCCCCCCTGAGCCCACTTCTCGGGGCAGGACACACAGGGCCTCTGTCAAGACCCCTGAACCGACTGTCCCCACAGACCAGCCTGTCACCCCTGAGCCCACATCTCGGGCCACACGGGGCAGGACACACAGGGCCTCTGTCAAGACCCCTGAACCGACTGTCCCCACAGACCAGCCTGTCACCCCTGAGCCCAAATCTCGGGCCACACGGGGCAGGACACACAGGGCCTCTGTCAAGACCCCTGAACCGACTGTCCCCACAGACCAGCCTGTCACCCCTGAGCCCACATCTCGGGCCACACGGGGCAGGGCACACAGGGCCTCTGTCAAGACCCCTGAACCGACTGTCCCCACAGACCAGCCTGTCACCCCTGAGCCCACATCTCGGGCCACACGGGGCAGGGCACACAGGGCCTCTGTCAAGACCCCTGAACTGACTGTCCCCACAGCCCCTGACCTTGAACCTCCGACCCCTACAGACCAGCCTGTCAACCCCGAGGCCATAGCTCAGGGTGGTCAGAGCAGGACACTGAGGTCTACAAGAAGTGCTGTGCCAGTTCCTACCATCCCTGAATCCCAGTCTCCTTTCCCCACAAACCAGCCTATTCCCCCTGAGCCCATCCCTCAAGCCAGTTGTAGCAGGAGGCCAAGGGTCGCTAGGCAGCCCCTCGCAGCTCCCATTGTCTATGAACCCTGCTCTGCACCCCTTGAACCTAACGCCTGGTCCTCAAGGAGCCAAAGGCGAGGAGCAGTGAGAGCAACCAAGTCCCTTAGGACCATTCCTGAGCCTGCCTTTGCCCAGCTTCCTGGGGCACCCACTCATGCTCTCCAGATCCAAAAGGTAGAGGCAACAGGTGGATATGAGTTCAGCCCAGGGTCCCAGCCTAAGGCCTTTCAAAACCACAAGAAGCCTTCAGATACTGTGGATTCACCCCCACTTCCAAAACGGCTGCGAAGAGAAGTCCCTCAGAAGACAGTGGTCCTCAAGGAAGAAGAGGCAGAGCAGCCAGGGAAGGAAGAGGTAAGGAGAAGGCTGGGGCTGCGAGCTGGGAAGGGGCTGGGGGCTCAGAAGTTCCCACCAGGATCCTTTTCAATTCCAGGATGTGGTGATGCCAGGACCAGGCAAGAGAAAGAGAGACCAGGCTGAGGAAGAGCCCAAAGGAATGCCAGTCCGCGGCCTCCGACGGACTAAACCTAACCATGAGTCCGCAGCCCCCAAAGTAGGAGAGAAGGGGCCTGGGGCTTCATGGGAGCAGATGTGGGGATGGGAGGGGACTGGGGCCTTGGGAGATAGGCACTGGTGCAAGGCTTGCTGTGACCAACGTAGGCCCATCCGCTCCACAGGTGCTCTTCACAGGAGTGGTGGATGCCCGTGGAGAGCAGGCAGTGCTGGCCCTGGGGGGAAGTCTGGCCAGCTCAGTGGCAGAGGCGTCCCACCTGGTGACTGATCGAATCTGCCGGACAGTCAAGTTCCTGTGTGCCCTAGGGCGGGGGATCCCTATCCTCTCCCTGGACTGGCTGTACCAGGTGAGAGGCCAGGAGATGGTGGCAGACCAATAGAGAAAGTGGCGGGAGGAAGAGGGGTGCAGGAAGGCCAGGGTGAATGAGCAGAAGCCTTCATTCAAAAACACTTTGTGAGCCCCCTGTAAATGCTAGGCTTTGATACTGACTGCTGCCACCCTTAGTCCCGCAAGGCCGGTTGCTTCTTGCCCCCGGATGACTATGTGGTGACTGATCCTGAGCAGGAAAAGAACTTTGGCTTCAGCCTCCGTGACTCCCTGAGCCGGGCTCGTGAGCGAAGGCTGCTAGAGGTGAGGGACTGTCTTCCTCCGCATGCTAGCCCTCCCTCCAGAAGTTTCCCAGCAGTGCATGGCTTCAGTGCAGCTCTCCACTGGCTCCGCCATTTCCTTCCTCCTAGGGCTATGAGATTCATGTGACCCCTGGAGTCCAGCCGCCACCCCCTCAGATGGGAGAGATCATCAGCTGCTGTGGAGGCACTGTCCTACCCAGCATGCCCCGGTCCTACAAGGTAGAGGGGAGTGTGTTCTTTATCTGGGGAGCTGCAGATGGGAACACTGTAGTGAGAGGGCTGGGGGAGACCTATGGTACGAAAGGGATAGGAGCCCAGCCAGTGTGGCTCAGTGGTTGAGCATCAACCTATAAACCAGGAGGTCAGGGTTCAGTTCCCGGTCAGGGCATATTCCCAAGTTGCAGGCTCAGTCCCCAGTGTGGGGCATGCTGGAGGCAGCCAGTCAATGATTCTCATCATTGATGTTTCTATCTCTTTTTCCCTCTCCCTTCCTCTCTGAAATCAATAATATTTTTTTTTAAAAAGGGAGAGGGAGCCCTAACCAGTTTGGCTCAGTGGATAGAGCGTCGGCCTGTGGACTGAAAGGTCCCAGGTTCGATTCCGGTCAAGGGCATGTACCTGGGTTGCGGGCACATCCCCAGTAGGGGGTGTGCAGGAGGCAGCTGATCGATGTTTCTCTCTCATCAATGTTTCTAACTCTCTGTCCCTCTCTCTTCCTCTCTGTAACAAATCAATAAAATATTTTTTTTTAAAAAAAGGGAGAGGGAGATAGGAATGGCAGAGGAGCTCTGCTGATACCTGCTGGATTTTGTTTTAATTTGCATTTTATTTTTTTAAATATGTTTTTATTGATTTTTTTTTAATTTTGTATAATTTCCTGGATTAGTGCAATAGCTTATTTTTTTAGAGCGAATCATCGATTGGCTGCCTCCTGCACGCCCCACACTGGGAATTGAGCCAGCAACCCGGGCATGTGCCCTGACCGGGAATTGAATAGGTCAGTGATCAATCACTGAGCCACATCGGCCCGGCTTTTTTTTTATTCCTCACCGGGGGATATTTGGATATTTTTTCCATTGAGTGGAAGGAAGGAAGAAAGGAAGGGCGGGGGGTGGGGGAGTGGAGAGAGAGAGAGAGAAACATTGATGGCACATCAATTGGTTGCCTCCCGAATGAACCCCAACCAGGACCAGGGATTGAACCACAACCAATGTATGTACCCTTGACTGGGAATCAACCGAGACCCTTTGGTCCTTGGGCCAATGCTCACCCAAACTGGCCAGGGCCCACCCACCTTTTTATGCCAGTGATTTTCTGCAGAAACTAGGTCAATGTCCTTTAGATGTCCCTCAGGCTGGATTCTTCTGTTTGCTCCCTGGTTGTACCACTTACCTTATTCTCTATCTTCTATTATTTCATGTAAACGATAATCAGTTTTAAAAGCTTGAATAAATTCAGGTTCCACATTTCTGGCAAGAGCACATCACAGACAGCGTAGTGTACTTTATGTGGCATTGTATCCAGAGCTCCTGTCTTAGTGATGCCTGGACTGATGAGTGGGTCCTAAACCTACTTCTAGGGTTCTTTTTCCCCTGACTTTCTGCCTCTGCTTTGTGTCCTCCCAGCCTCAGAGAGTTGTGATCACATGCTCCCAGGACGCCCCTCGATGCACCACGCCTTCTCGCGTTGGGCTGCCCATCCTCTCACCAGAGTTCCTGCTGACAGGAGTGCTGAAGCAGGAAGCCAAGCCAGAGGCCTTTGTTCTCTCCACTTTGGAAATGGCATCCCCCTGAAAACCCCTCCCCAGTACCCTTTTTCTTCCCAGATCAATAAACAGAAAACACTGGGGAGAAGAACTTAGGGCTTTAGGAAGGATTGGGGTGTACTGATCTGATTTGTCTTGAAACATGGGTGGGGCTGAAAAGGCTTATAGGAAAACAAAGATAGGGAGGTTGGGAGCCACAGGTACCTTAAGTGTGCTCATCTTTAGGTGGACTGATTACCTACTGCTCCGTGCCCTGCCTCCCATTCGGAAGCCATCTCACTTTTCTTCGTTATTGGAATTCTTACTTATCCTCCAAAACATAGTAGAAACAATTTCAATGCCAGAAACTTGAAGGGATGCTTGGAGTGAGTAAGTTTGAGGGTGGTTATGGAATGCTACAAAAAGATTTACCTCTCTCCTGGCCCCATCTTGTTAGAAGATCCTTTAGCTTGGACTTTGAGCAAGTCTCTGCCCTTTTTCAGGCCTGCTTTTCCAGTATGTATCAAATTAGAGCTTAGGCTTAAACTTTATGATAAATAAATATTCACTCTGTGCCTTATGGTATAGTGCAGTTTTTTGTTTTTGTTTTTTATCCTCACCCAAGGATATGTTTTTCTATTGGTTTGAGAGAGTGAAAACATCCATGTGAGAAAGAAACATTGATCAGTACGTCCCAACCAATCGAGGGGCGGGGGAGGGGGTTGAACCCACAACCTTTTGGTGTACAGGATGACACTCCAACCATCTGGCCAGGGCAGTGTAGTTGTTATTTTTTAATATGACATTCCTTAAATTTAAGTTTAAAAGGTTGATTACAAGGATATGGAGAAATTGGAACCCTTATACATTGCTGGCAGAAAAATAGAATGGTTCAGCCGTTGTGGTAAACAGTTTGATGGTTTCTCAAAAAGATAAATATATAATTGCCAAATGACCCGGCAGTTCCACTTGTAGGTATATATCTGAATTAAAATTGATGTTCACAAATACTTGTACACAAATGTTCATATAAACTCTTTTCATAAGAGCCAAAAGATAAAAACAAATGTTCCAAATTGTGGCATACCCATACAATGGATTATTACTCAGCCACGAAAAGAATTGAAATACTGATTTATACCACAGTGCTCTGAGGATGAACCTTCAAAGCATGTTATGTGAAAGAAGCCAGACACAAAAGGTCACATGGTCTGATTTCACTTACAAAATACCCAGAATAGATAAATCCGTGGAGATAAGTAGATTGGTGGTGCTCAGCCAGCATGGCTCAGTGGTTGAGCATTGACCTATGAACCAGGAGGTCCCGAGGCACATGCCCAGATTGCAGGTTCAATCCCCGGTGTGGGGTGTACAGGAGGCTGCTGATCAATGATTCTCTTCATTGATGTTTCTATCTCTCCCTCTCCCTTCCTCTCTGAAATCAATAAAAATATATGTGTGTTTTTAAAAGTAGATTGGTGGTTGCAGGGGCTGGAGGGAAGGGAGATGGAGAGTGATTGCTCATGGGCACAGGTTTATGTGGTGAGCGGGTAGGCATGCTTTGGACTTAGACAGTTGGTGGTGCACATTGTGAATGTCCTAAATGCCACTGGATTGTTCTCTTTAAAATGGTTAATTTTAGGTGAATTTCACTTGAATAAAAAAATTTTTGTTGATTAGTTTTGTGCATTTTTCTGCAGGTAAGTTACACCTAAGTTTGGAAAACTTTGGTATAGTAGAAATAGCATAAGCTTTGCTGAACACTGCTGGCTTTTAAATATACCTAACCTCAAAAAAAATTTTAAAAAAATAAATAAATAAATATACCTAATCTCTTAATGTAATATATTAAGCACAGCTGTATTAGGTGTGGCACATGTAAGATCCAAATAAATGTTAGTCCCATTGCACAACTCAAAGCCTCACTGTGTGAAATTCTGTTCTCAAGGTTCAGGGGATTCCTCTCGATAGCCCCATTTAGCATTCCCACTTCGTTCAAGTGCCTCCATTTAAAATTGTAGAGAATCTTAAACTTCAGTGAATCCTAAGCTTGTAGCACATTGTATAATGTGTCTCTCAGTCAGAGTCCTGGCGGGAAACCATAGCACAGTCAAATGGGGATAATTTGGGGAGCGTTGAACAAAGTGAAAATTACAAAGAACTAGGTGGAGATGAGAGAAATGACAAAGAATAAAGCAGCGTCCCAGTGCCCACAGGTCTGTGATGACCCCTCCAAGCCCAAAGGAAGAAAGAAGGGAGCAGTTCTGTGGAGAGCGCTCCCTTGGTAAACACGGAGGTGCATTGGTGTCGGCCCACTTCCTGAAGCAGAAAGGGCAGAGAGTGAGTCTGGAAGGAAAACAAGATGTCTGGTAAGGTACACCTCAGTTCTCCAACTTACTTTGTTTCGGAAGGTTGTTCGAAACGCAATTTGTTTGAAAACCAAATCATTTCTTCCCATTAGAGATAATGTAAATTGAATTAATCTGTCCCAGACCCCCAAATTGATTCCCTGTTATAACCTCTCTTATATACAGTACATGTCTAACATAGTGTTTAATCTATAAATAAACACTTTAAAAACAAAAAGGACCCTATCCAGTTTGGCTCAATGGATGAAGTGTCGGCCTGAGGACTGAAGGGTCCCGGTTTCGATTCTGGTCAAGGTCACATGCCCTGGTTGCGGGCTCAGTCCCCAGTGGGGAGGCGTGCAGGAGGCAGCCAATCAGTGATTCTCTCTTTTGATGTTTCACTCTCCCTCCCTCTGAAATCAATAAAAATATATTTTAAAAAATGAAAAGGAAGCCTGGCAGATATGACTAAGTGGTTGTGCATCAACCTATGAACCAGGAGGTCACAGTTCGATTCTTGGTCAAGGTACATGACCAGGTTGTGGGCTTGATCCCAAGTGTGGGGCGTGTAGGAGGCAGCCGATCAGTGATTCTGTCTCATCATTGATGTTTCTGTTTCTCCCTCTCCCTCTGAAATCAATAAAGATATTTTTAAATATATATTAAAAGAAAGGAAGTGTAGAGTAAAAAATGAAAATGTAGGTACACACTAGAACTTACCTTGAATGCTGAGAGCTACTGATGACTGAATATGGAGGAGGGTGTTCTTGTTTGGAAGGAGTTCCCTTCCGTAAACACATCAGGGAGCTATTCTTCTGGGGTTCTTTCTCTTTCGTCTCTTTGCTCCACTAGAACTTGCTTCAGGTTCACTGGGTCTCTGTCTCACTAAAAACCTACCCAATGATTGTTTTTGCCTGCGTTTTAACATTTGCCTGAAGTGAAACACTGCATTGTCATTGAACAAGTTTATTCCTCGGTGTGCTACTTCTTTGTCAGGGTGATATTTCTCAATGAAACTTTGCATTTCTCCCCATTTCCCAAGCATTCCCTTGATAAGTGAAGTAGGAATATCCTCCCTTCCCTCCTCTGAAGAGCGCTCCTCAGCTGCCGGCTGTTGCTGCTCCCTCTGAAGGTCTTGGAGCTCCTCAGTGGTCAGCTCAGTGTTGTGGTCCTCCACCAACTCCTCCACATCATCATCATCCACCTCCAAGCCCATGGACTTGCCCAGAGACACAATGTCCTCCACAACAGACACAGGCTTGTCCTCACAGCCCTCACAGGCTCTGTCAGCAACAGACTCGGGCCACAGTTTCTTCCAGGCCGACTGCAGGGTCCTGGAACACACTCCCCCCCATGCTTCATCTATGAGCCTCAAGCAAGTGAGGATATTAAAATGTTCCTTCCAGAACTCCCGGAGGGTTAAATTAGTTTCAGAGGTCACCTCAAAACACCTCTGGAACAGTGCTTTGGTGTAGAGTTTCTTAAAGTTAGAAATGACCTGCTGGTCCATGGGCTGGATGAGCGGAGTTATGTTAGGTGGCAAGAACTTCACAGTGATGAAGCTGTGCTCCTCCATCAGCTCGGCCTCCAAGGCTGGAGGGTGGGCAGGAGCCTTGTCCATGACAAGAAGTGCTCTGAGTGGCAACTGTTTTTCCCAGAGGTATTTCTTCACACTTGGGGCGAACACTTCATGAATCCACTCAATAAAAAACTGCCTGGCCACCCAAGCTTTGCTGTTAGCCCTCCACATCACATTCCACTTGTTTGGTTTTCTGTGCCTTTTTTTTTTTTTTTTTTTTGAGAATTAAGTTGTGTTATTCCTTTGTAAGAAATTTACCAAGAATAGTTTGAACAGTGTCTGCTACCTTCCCATATAACGCACAGCAGGGAGTGAGCCAACTCTATGCCTTGGCAGATTCCATACTCTAAGTTTCCATCCATTTCCTACATTTTATCCATTCACTTTCACTGTCATGAAAGACCTCCAAGAATTCCTTTAATGTGAAATGTTTTCCTGGCATCATTTCCCCTGGGACATCTGCAACGTTTTCATCATGGCCACAGCCTCATTTATGTCTATAATTTCATCTTACAAACCTCTCGCTGCAGATCTAGAATCTCTTGAATGGCAGCAGTATCAACATTCCACAGTCAGCCATTTCGCCTACAACTCCATTGACATTCTATTCACTTATTTTTATACCTCTCTTAAATTTTTATTGTTGAAAGTATTACATATATCTCCCTTTTTCCCCCATTGACCCCGCCCCACCCCAGGCCTTCAGCACTCTATTGTCTATGCCAGGGGTGGGCAAACTTTTTGACTCGAGGGCACAATGGGTTCTTAAACTGGACCAGAGGGCTGGAACAAAAGCATGGATGGAGTGTTTGTGTGAACTAATATAAATTCAAAGTAAACATCATTACATAAAAGGGTACGGTCTTTTTTTTTTTTTTTTTTTAGTTTTATTCATTTCAAACAGGCCGGATCTGGCCCGCGGGCCGTAGTTTGCCCACGGCTGGTCTATGCCCATGGGTTATGCATATATGCATACAAGGTCTTTGGTTGATTACCTCCTACCCACTCACCCTCTCCCACCCTCCCTCTGAGGTTCCCCACTCTGTTCCATGTTTCCATGTCTCTAGATCCACTCCATTCATCAGTTTATGTTGTTCATTAGATTCCACATATGAGATCATGTGATACTTGTCTTTCTCTGACTGACTTATTTCACTTAGCATGATACTCTCCAGGTCCCTCCATGCTGTCTCCAAGGGTAAGAGATTCTTCTTTTTTACTGCTGCATAGTATCCCATGGTGTAAATGTACCACAGCTTTTTAACCCATTCATCTACCGATGGGCACTTGAGCTATTTCCAGATCTTAGTTACTGTAAATTGTGCTGCTATGAACATAGGGGTGCATACATTCTTTCTGATTGGTGTTCCTGATTTCTTAGGCTATATTCCTAGAAGTGGGGTCACTGGGTCAGATAGCAGTTCCATATTTAATTTTTTGAGGAAACGCCATACTGTTTTCCATAATGGCTGCACCAGTCTGCATTCCCACCAGCAGTGCACGAGGGTTCCCTTTCTCCACATCCTCGCCAGCACTTGTCATTTGTTGATTTGTTGATGATAGCCATTCTGACAGGTGTGAGGTGGTACCTCAGTGTCATTTTAATTTGCATCTCTGATGATCAGTGACTGAGCATTTTTTCATGTTTCTTGA